TTGAATAGAGTAAGAAATATTCACATTCTAGATTTAATTTGTTGTTCTTGGGAAACCAATGTTTTAAAAAAAAAAATGTTGTCAAAAAAAGTTTATTAAAAATTTTCAAGTATCAAGTAATATTACAAAAATCATCTAGGTTCATTTTTCAAAGAAGAAAAAAAAATTATTTTTATTTATTTAATATTTTGCTATTAGTTTAACTCTTATTCGACCTTTTGATTCATCGTACGAACTCACTTTTAAAACATTGGTGCAAAGGAGAGGCCATATATTTGTGCATAATGTGTGGTGGTATACGATCAAATCTATGTATTTTTACATTAAAGAAGATACAATTAAGGGGGATGTACCTTACTTGAAATGCATAAGGATATTTAAAAATTGAAATTATTATTAATTTCAGTCTTACTTGGAACGGCTGTCATTCATCAATGCACCAAAATTATGCGAATGATTTATGAAAGTGAAAGGATATCTACTATGAACGTAATTTTATGTATGAAAAGGAAATGACTCATTATTTTATAGTTAACCAAAAAGGATTGGTTGCAAGCTAGAGGCAGCAAATAAAAGGCATGAAAAAGGCGCACTTAGGCACCTTGAATACGAGTAAGGCGTGAAAAAGGGCGGTCAAAGTTGGAAAATAAAGAGATTGAAGTAATATGTATGATACGATATAAAATATATGATCGCAAATAGATAATAAGATAAAAGATCAAGAATTATTTTGCAAAAAAAAGAGTATTTTATTCAATTGACGAATATGGAGAAAACATATACAATAATTGTGCCTACACAATTATTTTATATTTCGATAATACAAAACTTATAAAAAGAGTCTAATATTTATAGAGATTGATGCAAAACCATAAAAGTACCACAAAGATGGAAAGAAAATAAAAAATAATGATAAATAAAGGAAACAATATTTTTTTCCAATAAAAATGCTTGGAATATAGGAAATTTTATTTTATTTTTTTTTTCAATTAAAAGCGTGTAATGAAGCAAGCAATATCTTTCCTAAAAAAATCCAACCTAATTTGGGTAAAAAAATCCAACAACCTCTACCTTGAAATAAATTTTGATACAACGAACGAAACTCCAAGATTTTTCCACCTTGAAAAATAAATCTGACTATAGTAAAAAATTCGAACTCTCCAACAAAAACCAAATTTTCTCCAACACAAAAATACTCGTCTTCTCGTATCCAACATGGATATATAAACCCAAATATCGGGCTTTCCAAAATTCATAAAAATTTAGCAATTACCAAATAGTGTCAAAGTACACCTTGTAGTAGAATCAACTCCCAATACTTTTATAGAAGACCCCTGACTAGTTTCAACACCTTTAAAAAATTCATAAAAAATTAGAAATTACCAAATAGAAGGCTTCTGACTAGCCTCAACACCTTAAAAATGCTAAAAGTATGTGCAATCGAGTCAACATCCACGCACCTATCTCCAACCGAATCAACATCAGCCGCCAGTTTCAGAGATGTATATGTGTATTAGGATCCTCTTATCTTTATAAATTGATTGATGCGACTTCTCAGCCTTATGTCAACTCTTATATCAGAAGAATCAATTACCCGCCACAGGATGCGGCTGATGTCGCCTACGAGCATCCACCTCACTTCGTCAAATACATACACGTGTCCCACATTCAGTTGTACCCTTTATCTATAAATACCAAAGACTTGGCAAGAGACAAAGGTAATCTTTCTAATTCTAGGCACTCCACAACCAAGCACTACATATTCTCCTCCCCACTCTTTTGCACAATTCCTGCATTGTCCCTATCACTATCCACTAAGTGTATGAGGCCGTCGCCACTCCCATTGGAAATGGCCATATACGTCTACCTATTTGCTCTTGTGCGCAAGGAGGAACACTTGGAGTGGTTCTCAATTGGCCACGTGGAATGTTCAATTGCGAGGTCAACAAACAACGTGAAGATATTTATTTATTAAATGTGTACCTTAACAAAAATATGCAATTTCTCTTTTATCCATAGTGTCTATTGAAAATGAAATTTTAAAACAAATTGATTGTATTAGTATAATTGTTGATTTTCTATAAAAAAAAAATCTAGAAAGTAAATTTAATTTAGACATTTAAAATTTAAATTTATTATTTTTGTAGCTCTGAATATTTTTATTTAATAAAATTGATTTTTATGATTTTAAATATTATTAAATACTTAAGGGACCCCATATTTAAATTTGGTCTAAAGCCCCAAATTTCCAAGGCCTACACTACGTAAGTTTTACGCATCAAATAGAAGGAATCAAAAAGATTTTTGCAATTAAAATTTTTGACCGTTGCATAACTTTTGTTTTTCACTTAAAAATATCCTATGTAGCCCCTGTTTGGCCCCCATTAAATTATAATTCATTTTTCTCTTTTTTTTTTATTAACCACACATTTTTCAATAAAATATTCTATCCATCCCATATATATAGGCTGGTTTTATTTTCACACAGATTAAGAAATCTTATTTAATGTATTTTGTCGAAAACCTTCCTAGTCCACCTTTATTTTTATATTTGTACAATTTTTAGTTTAAATGGGAAAAATTGGTTATGACTAGTCAAATTAAGTTAGGGCATTTTAGTGAACGGATAAAACAAAATATTCTCAATAAAAAAATGATTATATAATTAAGACAAGAAAATAAGGAAAGTTAGCTTATATACATGCGACGGAAGGAGTAATATTACTCTTAAATCCAAAATTTATCTTATTTTCTTAACAACATTCTCCAAAAAATTACTATTATTATAAAAGAGAAGAAAAGAGAGCAGAACAAAAAGAAATCAATAAATTTGTATTTGTTTTATTAAGAACCAAAACCCTGTATTTATAGGACAGAATCAGGGATACAACAGTAATTATTTCTAGGACTGTAGGGGTATAATTGTTTAAATAGCACATTACAAAATATCTGCCTCATTAAAACTTTGTTTGATAAAAACTCAATGGGAAAAAATCAAAACGAAGGAAAAAGAGTAAAGTTAATTTGGAGTATTAAAAATAAATGATGCCTCATAAAAACATTGCTATGAAAACACAGTGGGACAAAATCCAAGCGAAAGAAAAATAGTACAACTACTTTCCTTGATATTGATCACTGAAAATCTTCGACATTCCAATCTTATGAACTAATTTCTTGAATGTAGTATTGGCAGTGCTTTTGTGAATAAATCGACCATATTGTCACTTGAGCGAATTTGTTGGATATCGATGTAACCATTCTTTTGAAACTCATGTATGAAAGAATTTTGGAAAAATATGCTACGTTATGTCACCTTTAATATAGTCTCCTCTGAATTATGCAATACAAGCTGCATTGTCTTCATACAAAATTGTTAGCTATCCTTTGTTGGAGTTAACCCGCATGATACTTGGATATAATTGGTCATGTCCTCAACCATACACATTATTGGCTTGCTTCATAGATTGCAATAATTTCAAAATATTTTGAGGATGTTGCTGTCAATGATTGTTTCACTGATCTCCATGATATGGTTGTTCCTCCACGTGTAAACACACATCTTGTTTGTGATTTAGCTTTATATGGGTCAGAGAGATAGCATGCATCTGTACGATTTAGGTAATGAAAAATATTTTAAACATCATTCCAATATTTTTTAGTAGGTGTAGAGCTGTATCTGGCAAAGAAACTTAAGTTATGTCAAGTCAAGTGCAATTTACAATATAAGTTAATACTCCAATTGCACTAAGGTATAGTATTTTAGGACCAAGAATATTTTCTCCATCTTCAAGTGGGCGAAATGGATCATTTTTCCCATCGAATTATCGAACAACTATGGTTGATGATCATTTTTCACATCGAATGGTCATTTTTCAAGTCGAGTGCCAATGAATGTACATTATCCATATAAAAGTGTTTTAAAACTTTTTCTTTTGTATACATAGATTGATGAATAGATAATCTGTCTGGAAAATGTTCAATCTGCAATCCAAGACAAACTTTGGTTGTTCCTAAATTTTTCATTTCAGATTCATTTTTCAAATAACCAGCAGCTTTGTTGAGCTCTTCAGGAGTTCCAATTAAATTTAAATTATCAACCATAATTGTAAATCAAATATTTGTTTTCTTTATGAAAAC